GTCTATGAAGTTCTGGTACCTCAAAGCAAGATACTACAGCAGCCGAGGACTTTGACTCACACAATTCTGTCTAGCTCAGTAATCCGGTTAGCAGACAAGCAGGTTACCAGTTAATCATGATTTGTTATTGTGTGATTGCCAAAAAATGCATCATTCCTCAATTCTTTTTTTTTTTTTTTTCTTCTTCTTTCTGGTACTAGGGATCAAACAAAAGACCTGGTACTTGCCAGGCAGATGCATAGGCCACTGAGCTATATCCCTGGCCCCATAATTCCTCAATTCCTGAACCTTGACCATGTCAGCAGTTCACCCCCACCACTTTCTACAGCCTGCCAGCACACCCCCAGTCATACTGTGTACCTAATAAAAGTGAAAGACAGTGTGCCCCATGGTTTTAGCCTATTGCTGGACTTTGACCATCCTGGTATTCCTTGTAACTAAAATATATGTTTTGTCTGTGTTTTATTCTGTCATTGTACCTGGTTGCACCTCTGAGCAGACTGGTGGTCCTAGGCTGGGACCCCATATCGTTTGATCAATTTTTCATGCTTTTATCTTTTTCTTTTTTGATGCTTTTTTTAATCTGAGCACCAAGACGATACAATTCACAATACATGAACCATTATCACTCTCCTACTGTCTTGTTTTGAAATTCTGTATCATGTTTATTGGTTTTTTTCTCTTTAAAATAAAAAAAGATGTGATGCTAAGATTCATGGTGGGATACTATTAGTAAGGTTGCCCTACCCTGTAGCTTGGTCAAAATATAAGTGAGAGAAACATATCTACAGCTATCACTCATTGAGGCTGCTGCTTCTGTTGCTGCTCTTCGTCTTCTGCTCATGCTGCCTGTCCTGCAATGCCCCTCAAATACTTTCTCTCCAAAATGCAAGTACAGATTCAATACAGCCTACAATTTCTGTGGTTTAATTTACTTCTCTAAAGCCTTTTGGTAAACTCTGGTTTTCCATGGGTCCTAAGAACCCCTTCTGAGTACTCCCAGTTTTTATTAAACTTCACAAAAAATACTTTTTTTTTTCTTTTTGGTGCTGGAGATTGAGCCCAAGGGCTTTGCCGTGCTGTCCATGTGCTTTACCACTGAGCTGCACCCTCAGCCTCAGAATACTTTTTTAGAAGTAGGGTGACATACTACACACCACTATTATTTAACTCTTATTTAAATATACATGTAGGAAATGCAAAGTTTACTTCTACCCTTCTAAGTATTTTCTTTCTTTTTTTTTTTTTTTTTCTTTTTTTTTTATTTTAGGGAAGGGTCTACAGGGTATTCAGGGTCTCACTACTACATCGGACTCGTAGTGATCCACCTGTTTACAGCCTCACAAGAGCTGGGATTACAGGTATGCGCCACCACAGCCAGTCTCAATTGTACCCCGGGGGTGGGGCCGGCACAGCAGGCCCAGGGATTGAACCCCTGGCCCCTGTGCCTGCTTGCAGGCGCTTTAATCCGCTGAGCTATTTAGCCAGTCCTCCTTCTAAGTATTTTCAATGGGGCCTGAAAATAAAAGTGATGTAAAACAGATTAACAGAAAAAGTATACACTCTTAATGTCAATTTTATATAGTATGGGAGCCCTCATAAAGAAATATAAACCCAGAAGAGTAGCAAAACCTAAATGATTTTTAAATTAAAAAGTAGTTGTGGAAAAGTAAACTATCTGGAAAAAATTGAGGAAATATTTTAACAAGTCCTGTTTATATAAAATTTCTGTGTCTCACTCTCCCATCCTTAAGAATCTTTACTTCTGGTATAAGGAGGATATCTTTCAGTTGTCCTGTTTTGTTTTGTTTTGTTCTGAGACAGGTCTTGCCATGTAGTGCATGCTGGCTTGGAACTCACGAGGTACCCTAGAAATTCTCTGGGATCCTCCCACCTCAGTTCCGAGTGCTGGGACTACAGATGTACTCTAGCATAAAAAGTACATCTTTACATCAGGGTTTCTGCTTTAAGGGAAAAAAGGAGAGGCCTCTCAGCACACTTCTAGCACCTTCTTTTGGCTCAAAATAACCTTTATGCCAAAGTGACATGTTTGGGGATGACATTCTGTCACATCTCTGGACATATTACCACCTGACTGGTTTATAGCAAGTTCCAACACACCAAGTTGGCCATAAAAGCAATTCATTTCTGTGCCACCAGAGGCTGCTATCGCCACTACTTATGTTAAAGGTTGGTCCACTACTAGCTGCACTTTTAAAATAGTTTTCAAACAAAAGGCCCATATTACAAACTTATTTTTATAAATTTCAGAACACATCTTGTAGATAATAAACTTGGACATGGAGCTATTAATAAAGCTGCCAAAGACGATGCTTAAACAAGATAAAAGAACCTGAAGCATATCAAATGTGAACTTAAATAGTGTATAAGTACAAAGGCCCCAGTTTTCCAATACACACTCCCTGACCTGTCTTGTCTGTACCTTTTTCAATTGTATAGATATGGGCCAGCGAGATAGCTCAGCAGTCTAAAGCACTTGCCTAGGCAAGTTTAGGCAAGCACCCAGGGACTGACTGCGGTTTGATCCCTGGAACCACATGCCTGCCACACCAGCCCCGTTCCCAGGGTGGGCTGGGCTGGTCAAAAAATATATACATATATTTTTTTTTCATTCAATTGTACACATAGAACTTTGAGCCAGCCTTTCTGCTATGCTCTAGGAAGTACAGAGATTAATGAATTCCATAAAATCTTGTGCTACATTACAATGAACCCAGAATTACTACTTCATACACAGAAGTACCTACTTGGTGAGAGCAAAAGAAATTATCTCAGTTTGAAGAGATGCAGAAGCTTCATAGTGAACAGCTGAATATGCTTTAAATGAAATAGCAAGTTCCTATAGAAGGGAGAATGAAACAGAATGGTGTGTTGAAGCATCCGTAAGTAGTGAAGCAGGAAGGAAATCAATACCTTACGATATTAAGTCTGAAAAGAAACCCAGGGCCTAGACCATATAGATGGAATTCTACTTATAATGCTAATTTTTACACTTGGCCATCCATGGAGGATTGCAGAGAAGGGAGAGTCTTTCCTTCATTTATTGGCTGGAGCTCTGTATTAAAGATCAATTGACAAGAGAAAAGCACATACAACACAGAAGCCTGCCTGAAGAAGCCTACACAAACACCCAAGAAACAGTTCCAACCAGGCAATTACATGCTAAATTGCACAGAAGAATAACAAGACAAGGAACCTGGAAGACGGCAGTTCACCAGAGTAGACTCACAGCTTTCTTTCACCCACTCCACTTCGTCTCTGATGGTAAGGTATTCAGATACAGAGAAGTCACCTTTCACACATTTTTAAATATATTTAGTACAGTGTCTACAGAGTCTCACTACACAGATCAGACTCGTAGTGATCCTCCTATTTTCAGACTCCCAAGCACTGGGATTAAAGGTGTGTGCCACCACACCCAGTCTCATCATGCCTGGGGCCTGGGCCAGCACAGCACGCCAACGGGGGTCCCTGAATCTGTCTAAGCAGGCATTGTTTGCATTTTAATCCACTGAGCTGTCTGGCCGACCCTCACAGGTAAACTTTACCTCCTGCTTTCAGGGTTTTTTTTCCCTGTACTAGGTAGGGATCCAACTTGGAACCTGTCACATGCCAGGCAGCCATTTGCACAGCTGAGCTGTCTCCCCAGCAATCTCCTGCTTTCAGGAAGAAAAAGTCAAAGTGCACTTTCAAAAAAAGAATAAAGATTTAGCACTTTGTGATAGGTTGTACTGCTAAATTATGGTTGTCATCTAATATGGCTGAAGCCCTTAAATCAACTTATCTTCCAATGACCTCCCCTGCACATACACACAGGAGAGACCCCAATCAACTCCCCACATGTAATTGAAACTGATCCTCTAACTCCACCCCTAAGAAAAGTCCATAACAGTCTCAGCTTTCTTGGTCTCAGGTCAGAGGACTTTCCCATCTGCCTTTGATCCTCTCCGCATCTTCAGAGTTAATAAAGGCTTCTTGTATTTTTCCTATCTCTTTACTGCACTGCTGAAAAAGCTCTCACTTTGCTTAGCAGATAACTAAATTATTATTAATGATATTTAGTCCCTTAAGAGTCACTGGCGAGGTTATACAGGAGACGAATGGGCTGTAATAACGACAAGCAGTCCTAATTTGGTAGGTAGTCACAATTACAAAACTTTCTAATTCTCGGCATTTAACACGGGTCTATTTAAACCACTTCCTAACACCCAGCTTTCAATACAAAATTTGGTGGTGATACTAGGTATTGAATTCGGTGCCCAAATCTTCGGGCACTGAGCTAGGTCACTGGCCCTTTTTACTTGGGCCACAACACCCAACTGAAACAATCAACGTTAACACTTAAAAGAAAGCACCTCCACCTTCTTTCAAAAAACCAAAACTAGGGCCGGCGGTATAGCTCAGCGGATTAAACGCTTGCTTCGCAGGGGTCAGGGTTCGAGCCCTGGAACCGCGTGCCGCGCCAGCCCCGCCCCCGGGCGCCCTGAGCCGAAGATGGAGTCCGGGCGTGGTGGCGCACGCAAGTAACCCCAGCACTAGGGAGGCAGAAATCAGGAAGATCACTACGAATCCGAACTGCGTACTGAGACCCCTGCACAAAAATTAAAAACAGAAAAAAACCCTGACAATCCAGTCCCCAGTTCAGCGCGAAAGCCAGACGAGCAACGCCCGCCCGAACGCTCTACCACAAGTTCTGCCTGGATAATTAGGGGTCCTCACAGCCGTGGAGCGGCGGGGATATAGGTGTCTCCCAAATCCGCCTATAGAGATATGTTTATGTACCAATTCCATGAGATGAATGTAATTGTTGTATATCACAAATATATACAATAAAAATCTTTTAAGACCCGCATTGCCATAGCACAGTTTTCCACTGCCCCAGGCTACAGCTCTACGGGCTAGGCCTTTCCGCGCAGCCACCTCATCCGGCACGCAGTGGGCAGCGTCCTACGTCACGCCAGCGCCGTGCCTCAAAATAGGACCTTTTCTCCGCCTCTGCCTCCTCCCGACGCCGGCGCCGCTTTCTGGAAGGTTCCTGAGGGCGGTGTTTGCCTGCCGTTATCCCAAAGCGGACCATAATCCGTGTCCATCCGTTCCTGCTGAGCCCACTCCTACTTAATTAAATTTGCCATGCCAGAGAATGTGGCACCCCGGAGCGGGGCCCCCGCTGGGACTGCTGGCGGCCGCGGGAAAAGCGCCTACCAGGACCGCGACAAACCGGCCCAGATCCGCTTCAGCAACATTTCGGCAGCCAAAGGTATACCCCTCCTCCATCCGCACCCCGGCTTTGTGGGGTGGGCCTCTGCACTCACTTTGTTTTCTAGATGGGTATGGCCCAGTCCCTATTCGTTCAAGGTGGTTTTCTCCCAGTAGAAGCTTTGTAAAGGGTTTCTTTGTGAAGAGTTTCTGTTGCCAGCGATTCAAGACCTCGATATGGAGGCTAATATCTATACCATTTGGGATGTTAGACGCTTGTAGTTCTCGGCTGTGCAGTCATCACGTGGGAGCCCGATAGCGTTCTGACATACCAAGGGCTGCCTTGAGCTGTTCCCTGGGATTAGATACAAACTGTCGTTTATGTGCTTATTGGACCCAGTGGTACACTGTTGCACATTACTTTTCAGCATTTACAGTCTCCTAAAAGGCGATTTTAAATAAGCTTCTCTTGGTACAATTACTGGGACTAATTGGGTGATCTGTGCGTCTAAATTGGAGCAGGATTTATCCTTCTTGTTTGGGAATAATTAGGGACATTTGACGTACTCTTTATGTCGATTCTTGCAGCCAAGAAAGAGTATGGGTTTATTTTTGTGGAACATTGGCATGTGGTGGAAATAAAAGATTTGTGTCCGATTTTGTTAGCTTTGTGATCTTTTACCTCTGAGCCAGGATTTCCTTATCCTTATAGTTGAGAAAAATACCATTAGAACTGTGGGGATTCTCTGAGCCAGGGTTTCCTTATCCTTATAGTTGAGAAAAATACTATTAGAACTGTGGGGATTAAGAGAATTTGAGTTAAAATAGAAAAACATAGACGAGAACAAAGGTTTAAAGAGCTTGCTTGGGTGTGTATTGAGTACTGTATTTCTCTTGGGTTGGAGAATAAAGTGCGTGAAGAAGTGAGATTGTAAAGGTAGGATGGGGCTGGATAGATACAGAAGGGAGTGGTGACTTTAAAAACAAAAAAAAAGTGCCTGGCTTCATATCTGGTAGCTATAGATTATCCTAAAGAGAAATGAGGTAGCAGCTACTTTGTAGAAACGTTGTCAGAATTAAAGGAGAATGTTATGTAAAGATTCTTGTGTATCTTTATAAACCTTGCAGATATTTGCAGTCATCAGCCCAAGAGACTGGGAAGGTGGACCAAAAGATAGGCTCCTGGTAGTTAAATACAGTAGTGTCCATCCATCCGTCTGTCCTACTTTTCTGTCTTCCTTTCTTTTTTCCTTCCTAAGGCAGGATCTTGCTCTGTAGCCCTGGCTGACCTCAAAATCATGGTAATCCTCCAGCCTCAGTCTCCTAAGTGCTACTATACCCAGAGGGATTGTTACGTAGGGAATAATTGCTGTTGGTTACATTTATTAGATTGGAATGAAGATGTTGAAAGAAATTCTGGGCCTTCAAGATGGTCAAGAGAATGTATGCTGTGATTAATTTTCAACAAACAAAACAATTTAGGGCCTGCCAGATAGCTCAGCTAATTAAAGCACCTGCTTAGGCAGACGCAGGAAACTGCAGGGTCTGGGGTTTGATTCCTGGTGCCATGGTGGTGCATACCTGTAATCCCAGCACTTGGGAGACTGAAAAGCTGGAAGGATCACTACGAGTCTGATCTGTGTATTGAGACCTTGTGTAGACTCTACTAAATACATTAAAAATTTTTTTTTTAGAAAATTGAAGCAACGTAAGAGACAGGCATCTTTAGATCTTCTTAAATCTCTGAACCTACCCACGTGGAGCATTGAGGTGCACTCATAGAGCAAAAAGGCCCTGAAGCAGTTTTCCTTAGTCAGACAAAACCATACCAAGTAACTGAAAAAAGCTTCTGCCAGGTGCAATTTTCATTTAATACTGGAAATCAGCTTATAGTATTTTTTTTTTTTTTTAAATGTTGTTGATGAGGAAAACCACATTCGAGTACTTTGGAGCATGAACAATTTATTATTATTTTTTTATTTATTTTTTTGGCGGAACCAGGGATTGAACTCAGGCCCTTGTGCTTGCCAGGCAAGCGCTTATTCTACTGAGCCATCTCCCCGGCCCCTGAGCATGAACAGTTTAATCAAGATTATTATCATGCCTACTATTTGCCACACTGAATGTTAAAGGCATTTGCATAGATATAAGAATCTTAAAGTGCTGTATTTATTTAAATAGTTATCTTTTTAGTCTTGACATTTGTAAAGAGCATTCTTGAAATGCAATGCTTGGAGAATCATCACTGTTTAGAACAATTAAAATTTTTGAAAGTGGTAATATTGATAAGATAATTAGAAACAATAGACCAGAGTTAAGAGATTCAGGTAATGTAATTTTTAAATTCCACACAATATTTTTTGTTAAATTCTTTAACAAAATGTTATTTTTCCCAATATGGGCAAAATCATTGTTGGTTTTGGTTTTGTTTTTGTTTCGGGATCCAGTGGAAAGGCAGACCCTTATGCCCCTGAGCTATATCCTAGGCCCCTGGGCAAAAACATTGTGCTAGTGACAAAATATGCAAAAATGATTGGGGCACAGTTTATCCTACATATGTAGTATGGTGGTAATGGTTTATCAGGAAGAAGATAATGTTTTTTGCATTTATTGATACATTTTAGATATACATAGTAACACTTAGCTAGAGAATTTGTACTTGTACATGATACATCTTTTCCCATTCCACTCCCTCCCTTCCACCTCTCATTTACAAAAGCTTTTGTTTCTATTTTGTCCTTCTTTCAGCCCCCCCTTTTTCCTGCTCATTTGAACATTGTCTTCCTATTTCCCAATATATATTACATGTTTTGGTTTTTATTTATACTTTCCATGTCTCACACTAGAGAAATAATGATTTTTGTTTGTTTGGTTCTTCAAGCTTTGCTTTTTTTTTTTTTTTTTTTTTTTTTTTTTTTTTTTTGCAGAACTGGGGATTGAACTCACACTCTTGTGCTTACAGGGAAGTGATTATTCCACTGAGCCATCTCCCTGGCCCCCATTCAAGCTTTTATTGAAGTGCAGTGATCTGGGTTGAATTTTATTTATTTATTTATTTTGGTGGTACCAGGGATTGAACTCAGGACCTTCCACTTGCCAAGCAAGCACTTTCTCCACTGAGCTATCTACCCCGCCCCTGGGTTGAATTTTAGATCTTGTTAAACACAGCAACATCCATGGACTGCACATAGTCCTCAAAGGTAGTGATCTCCTTCTCTAGTATATCTGTTCCAACTTTATCATCTTCAAATATAACTACTGTATTTACAGTTTAATTCCATATTCCCCTGGAAGTAGTTTAGAGGAGCCCCAGACCAAGCTATCTGCTTGAAAGCTTCAGATGCGCTCCTCTAATTTTACTCTGCCTCATCATTTCAAGGTTTCATATCTAGCAAGGTGGAAAACTTGGCAACAAGTGTATGTCTTTGACTTTCTTGAACTCATACTGTGCAAGTTCTTCTCTTATCCTCTTTGCTTCATTTTCCTCTTCATCGTTAGCTCCAAAGAGATCAATATCATCATCTTTCTCTGCAGTTCTATTTCTGGTAGTTATTGCACATAGGCAGGGCCATACTTGCCTAAAACTTTCTTCACTCCTGGCAGGCTGACATTTTCCTTTTCATAAGACTTGAATGTGATTGTGCCAGTAAGGACTGTGGCTGGTTCAAATACTGTAACATCTGACTGGGAGAACACAAAGCCCTCAGTGTAGCTTTTGTCCACCAGGTACTTTTGGTCCAGGCCCATGCTGGCCTCAGTTCTCTGTGGGAGTTGGGCACTGGTGGAATGAAAAGCACCAAAGACCCACCCCAGTGCACAACATGGTGTTTTTGTTTTATCCTGGTTTGGGGGATTGAACTCAGGACCTTGTGCTTGCTAGACAGGCACTGTGTCACTGAGCTGTATCACTGGTCTACACAATGTGATATTTAAAAGTGTGTCTGTGTAGGGTAAGCGGCTGAAGCAAGAGGATCCTTGTAAGTTCAAGACCAGCCTGGGCTACAAAGTGAGCTTAAGACCAGACTAAACTGCATAGAAACTGAGTCTCAAAAGACAAAAAAAAAAAAAGTGTGTCTGACTTAATTCACCTAAGAGTATAGTCTTTTTTTTTTTTTTTTTTTTTTTTTATTTATTTGTGTGTGTGTGTGTGTGTGGCCAGCTCAGCCCACTAGGGGGCGGGCTGGCTGGCATGTGGTGCTGAGGGATTGAACCGTGGTCCCTGTGCTTTGCTAAGCTTGTTCTAAGTAGGTGCTTTAGACCACTGAGCCATCTCACCAGCCCTAAGAGTATAGTCTTAAGATACATCCATTTAAAGAGCCAGCCATATAGCTCAGTGGATTAAAGCTCCTGCTGAGGCAGATGCAGGGACCGGGGTTCAATCCCCGGTGTGCTGGCCCCAACCCCGAGGCTGGGCATGGTGCACGCCAGTAATGCCAGCGCTTGGGAGGCTGAAAACAGGATGATCGCTGAGTCCAATCTGTGTAGTGTGACCCTGTAGATCCTTTACTAAATACATAAAAAAAGAAAAAGGATGCATCTGTTTAGGGGCTGGTGAGATGGCTCAGTGGTCTGCAAGGCCTGCTTAGGCAAAGTTCAGGGACCCCAGTTTGATCCCTGGCACCACATGCCGTGCCAGCCTCACCCCTAGGGCTGAGATGGCTGCCAAAAAAAAAAAAAAAAAAATCCATTTAGCTATAAATAAAGGGAAAAAATGAATAAATTTTTCTGGACTTCACAAAGAAAAGGGGTTGAGTACCGTTCATCAGTTCCAACTTTTGATAGAAAATAGGAAAAAATTGTTAGTGAATTAACAAAGCCAGGTGTAGGGGTTCACATTTGTAATTGTAGCCCTCAGGAGACTGAGGCGGAAAGAATGCGACAATTCCAAGCCAACTAGGACTACATAATCAAAAATAAAAACAAAAAAACCCAACAAAAAGTAAATTAACAGAACATTCTAAAACATTCTCGTGGATAATTAAGAACATAGCTAGTTGTGTTTGGCACATGCCTGTAATCCCAACACTGAGGAAGCTGAGGCAGAGGTTCACTTTTGACAAAACAAGAACTCTAAAATCAGGGAGTTTAGTCATTGCCATTATGTTATCCGTGGTGGTGGTGATTTTGATGGTTTTGAGATAGGGTCTGCTATGTGTAGTTCAGTCTGGCCCCGAACTGACTATGTAGCCCAAGCTGGCCTTGAACCCAGGGCAGTCCTCCTGCCTCAACCTCCTGAGTGCTGGGATTATAGGCATGTGTCACTATGGAGTTCTCTGGGGAATTGAACTCCATGTGCTGCTGAGCTATAACCTGGCTAGGATTTTTTGAGACAGGATCTTGCCATGTGATTCAACCTGGCCTTGAACTCACAATAGGCACCCAGGCTGGTCCCAAGATCATAGTGCTCCTCCTGCCCCAGCTTCCTGGGCTTCTGGGGTGAGGTGTGTGCCACCTTACCCAGCTGCTGCTTGTCCTATGTAAGTCAGAGGTTCTAAGTAGATTGTATTATTTCTCTTTTTGAGACACCTTGAGCTCACTTTGAAGCCCAGGCTGGGAATTACAGGTGTGTACTGCCACAGCCAGCTAGATTGTGTGTGTGTGTGTGTGTGTGTGTGTGTGTGTGTGTGTGTGTGTTTTAGGAACGGGTCTACAGGGTGTTCAGGGTCTCAGTACTAGATCGGATTTGTAGTGATCCACCTGTTTACAGCCTCCCAAGAGCTGGGATTACAAACGTGCAACACCATGCCTAGTCTCAATTGCTGTCTCACCATGCCCCAGGGGCAGGGCCAGCAAGGCAGGCCCGGGGATCAAGGCCCCGGCCCCTGCATCTGCTTGCAGGTGCTTTAATCTGATGAGCTATTTGGCCGGCCTTAGATTGTACTATTTAGATAAAGGTATTTCCAAATATGTTCAACCAAAAGGCAGAGCACGTACCGTATAGTGACTTTTAATAAAAACTTATCCTAAATTTAAAAGATGTAAGATAATTACTATTTTCTATAGATTGTTTTCTAAACATTAATTTTCTTTAGTGGAAATGGTAAATTGCATAGCATACCCTAATAAGACAAAATAATCATTCAAGGGAAAAATACCTTGGTTTTTAGAAGAGTCTTATTTTTTTTTTTCCTCTTACAGCTGTTGCTGATGCTATTAGAACAAGCCTTGGACCAAAAGGAATGGATAAAATGGTAAAAAGCTAACTTGCTCAGTAGTAACAAGTGCCACTGTTCCTAATAGAAGGTGTGATAAAAGATTAAGACGTACTGTTTTATAAGTGTTAGGTACTTTAAAAGTTTTTGATGTATTTGGTACAGAGTCTCACTGTACAGCTAAGACTTGTAGTGATCCTTCTGTTTCAGCCTCCCCAGTGCTTGGGATTACAGGTGTATGCCACCAATTGACAGGCTGGCTCAGCACACCGAGGGGGCAGGGCTGGCATAGGATGAGGTGCCAAGGACTTAGTGCAGGCACTTAGTCCACTGAGCTATCTCACCAGCATTAAGAGTTGAGATTACTTTGAAGTGAATGGGACTTAACTATTTTTTTTAATCCTTTTAAAATTCAGAGTAATATAGCTGTTTATATAGTTCATTAAGTCTAAATATACATTTTAATTCAGATGATCTAATAATTCTTTGGTAGTTTTAAACAGTGCATACACAAAAGGATAGGTAGAGTTAGCTGGCAAATGTAGTAGTCCAGATGTCAGGTTAATTTTAAATGCTAATGACAAAGACTGTAAAGTTTCAAATTTGCTTCTAGCTTGGTTGATCAGGACCATAAATCAGATATTTTCCTCTGGGCTATGTAACAAGTTCGGGGCTAGCTTGAACTGTATAGCCAATGTGTCTCCCCCCCCCCCAAAAAAAAACCAACACACTCTCTCTCTCTCTCTCTCTCTCTCTATATATATATATATATATATATATAATTTCAGAATCTCTTGTGGAGAAAGGGTCTTGTAAGTCAAGGTCTTGCTATGCAATTCAGGCTGGCCTTAAACTTGCAGCCATACTCCTGTCTCAGCCTCCTGAGTGCTGGGTTTGCTGTGGTACACCACCAATGCCCTGCTCAAAACCTTTTTGATAACAATGCCCTCAATTGCAGTCAGTCACATAGGACCGTGGTTTGATTCCCAACTCCAGAAGCTGCACCAGATCTGTCCTTGAGGCAGCCTGAAATAGCCAAAAAGAAATCCTTCTCAAATTTTTACGGCCAAGATGGCTCATTAGAATAAGTGCTTCCCTGGCAAGTGCAAGGGCCTGAGTTCAATCCCGGTTCCCCCAAAAGAAAAAAAAAATATCCTCAAATTCAGATCTACTTGATACCCCAAAATAAGAGGCAAAATAATACGAATTATTGGATGATATACTGATAGAATGATCTAAAGTCTGTGCCTCCCAGTGCTGTTGCCTTTTTGAGGATATTATGAAACAGGTTACCATGTTGACTTAGAATTATGTCTGTATTATATGGTACTGTTTTGGAACTTCCTGGTGGAGATTAGTTTGGGTTATTTTGGTACTGGGGATCAAACTCAGGACTTTGTGCTTGCCAGGCAGGCACTTAGGCAGCTGAGCTATCTCCCTGGCCCAACAGTTGTGTTTTTAACAGTATGAAATCAGAAATGACTTTTTCCCTTAAACTAAGAATTGAATTTGGGGCCTTCTTTACACTGAGCCACATTTCCCAGCTCTTTTATTTTGAGCTAGGCTCTCAGTTGTTAATTTGCCAGACTAGACTTGAAGTTGAAACCATCCTGCCTCACCTGGCCTCACAGTGCTGGAACTACAGGCAGGAAACACCACACCTGGAAATAATTAATGCCTACTATTTTCTAATAGTGTGTTTTCTGTCTTTGCGTTTATCTGTATTAGTTCACATTTAAAATACCTTGAACAGGGGGGCCTGCCCCTTCGCTCAGTTCTTTAAGTGGCTGCTTCAACAAAGCATCAGGCTTAGGTTGCTGTGGTTCAATCCCCACAACTCAAGCCAGCCAAACCTGCCCTGAAGGCATTTGGAGCAAAAAAAAAATCTTTAAAATACCTTGAACAAAGCCATTTGTTTATTTTATAAAATTAAATTGTTACTGAATATTAAATTATTGTAATAACCATTATGTAAGGAAAGAAAATTTGAAATTAAGTGCTATGTGAACAAATTAACTTACTATGAAGTATTAAAATTCAGTGGTGCTTTAGATGTCATGTTGAAATTTTTTTTTCCCGCCAGATTCAAGATGGGAAAGGTGATGTGACCATTACAAATGATGGTGCCACCATTCTGAAACAAATGCAAGTGTTACATCCAGCAGCCAGAATGGTAAGGGTAATTATAGGTGAAGTTTGGTTTTCAAGTATATTTTTGAATATTTGACAGTACATTACTGGAGATAGAACACAGGGCCTCTAACATGCTAGGCAGGAGCTGGGGAGATAGCTTAGTAGAATAAGTGCTTGCCTGGCAAGTACAAGGGCCTGAGTTCAATCCCTGGTTGCGCAAAAAAAATAAAAAACATGCTAGGCAAACAGTCTACCACATCCCCAGCCCTTTATTTTTATTTTGGGACAACATCTCACCAAGTTTCCCAGAGTGGGCTCAAGCTTGTGATCCTCTTGCCTCAGTCTCCTGAGTAGTTGGGATTATGGGTGTTTACCACTAGGCCCAGCTTTTGTTTGGTACATGATAACAAGAGTATTTTGTTGGGCTGGGGAGATGGCTCAGTGGAATAAGAGCTTCCCTGGCAAGCATAAGGGCCTGAGTTCAATCCCCAGTTCTGCAAAAAAGAAAAAAAAAGAGTATTTTGTTGATCATGTAATACCATTTGAATGCAGTGAAGTTTTTCTTTATGCTAAATAGACATTTTTAGGATATATATTATTTTAGCATAAACTAATAATAAAACATGAATCACCAGGCTGGGGAGATAACTCGGCAGTCTAAGTGCATGCCTGGCAAGTACAAGTACCTGGGTTTGATCCCTGGTACCACATGCTGCGCTGGCCCCAGAAGTCTGGGTGCGCCATGCTGGCCACTGAAACGGCATGGTGGTGCACATCTGTAATCCCAGTGCTGGGGAGACTGAGACAGGATCAGTAGGAGTCCAAGCTGCATAGTGAGACCTGGTACCAAATAAAAGGTTAAACAAGAAATTTTTAAAAACATGAATCACCTTGTCTATAGGAATGTACTATACAGTTAAGAGTAAACATAATCTGTAAATGTCTCAGTTAGTGGGGCAAATATCTTAACACCCCAAATGAAGAAAGGAACAGTTTATTTAGCTCATTGTTACTGAAAGTTTCAGTCCATACCCAGCTGGCTCCAAGGCAGAGGAGAATATAGCAGAGAGCAATCTTTCATGGCAGTGGCAAAAAGAAAGCAAGGGAGAAATTAGCAACAGTGGCTACAGATAGCAAGTCTGTCTCCCTTAAGTTGCTTTCATGCTGCCTGCCTCATGAGTGCATCAGGCTTTGGAGGGAAAGTAGACACAAGCCATAACAGTAATTATTTATTTATTTATTTATTTATTTATTTATTTATTTATTTTTGCGGAACCAGGGATTGAACTCAGGCCCTTGCCCTTGCCAGGGAAGCACTTATTCTACTGAGCCATCTCCCTGACCCCCATAGCAGTAATTTTTTATTGCACATTAGTCTTAGTATTAGATGGAGAACAAAATAATTTTGTTTTCATTTTAGGAGTACTCATGATTGTACTCATCACCCTGCATATGTTAAACGTTCTTTCACTGAGCTCCACTTTCATGACCTAGACAATAAAATTGTTGTATATAAGATAAATGTTGAAATTTGCACTCAAATTTGTTTTTTAAATACCAGTTTAAAGATCATAGGTATGATTTCAGGTGTCAAGGAAAAAGTCACCGTATCATTCAAAACAAATGCCGTAGAAATTCCTGTTTTGAAACATCATATTGGGTGTAGCAGCACAGGCCTATAACCCGTCCTAGTCAGGAGGCTGAGATAGATAGATCCCTGAGCTCAAGAATTTGAGGCCAGGCTAGACAGTGTATTAAGACTCTCATCTCAAAAAAAAAAAAGTCCTTTTAGGCCAGAGATATAGTTCAGCAGCGTATGTGCTTGCCTGGCAAATGCAGAGTTCTAAATTTGATCTCTGGTACCACAAAAAAAAAAAGTCCTTTTTTATGTAAGTATGACTTAAACTGATACTCAGGAGTGTTTTGCTTTACAACTTCTAAATCTATAGGGTACCTACCTACAATATGTTAGTGCTTTCTAGTAGGTCCTTTTGAGATAACTTTACATTGTATAATATGAATCAAAAATTGTATCTCCATATTTTAAAAAGTTCGTAAGTAAATTTTATTTTATTTTATTTATTTATTTTCCGGAACCGGGGATTGAACTCAGGCCCTTGCGCTTGCCAGGCAAGTGCTTATTCTACTGAGCTATCTCCCTCCGGTTCTTCGTAAATAGATTTTATATGCCACAAATACATCCCTATGTTTAGAGGGGAGTGGCTTTGGTGTTTTGAGATAGTGTTTGACAATAGTTCACACTGGCCTTGAACTCACTGTTCAGTAGTCTAGGATGGAGAGCTTGTGATCTTCCTGCCTCAGCCTCCTGAGTGCTGAGAGTATAGGCATGTGTCACCAAATCTGACCAATTTTCATTTTTAAATGAAACTCAAGGTAGATATAAATCAGAAATCATGAATTATATTAAGTCTTCAAACTGCTTTTAACAGTGCTGATCTGAATTAGATGTTATTGGGTACACACATTTCTCAGTGACTGCTCCATGTTCTGTTCATATAGCTGGTGGAATTGTCTAAGGCTCAAGATATAGAAGCAGGAGATGGTACCACATCAGTAGTCATCATTGCTGGCTCTCTCTTAGATTCCTGTACTAAGCTTCTTCAGAAAGGTGAGTAGGAAATGTTTTGTTGCTGAATGAAAGGGCAGAAAAGTTGTGTGTGTTTTATTTTGAAGACAAGCATTAGGAGCTAGGTGTGGTGACACATGCCTGTAATCTCAGCACTCAGGAGGCTGAGATAGGATTGCTGTGAGTCCAAAGCCAGTGTGAACTGCATAGTGACACTCTGTCTAAAAAAGATACGCATTAGGAAAATCAAAATTTTTAAGTGATCTCAGATCTAAGGTAGAACAACTTTACTATGAATTTCTTAAGGTTTTGTTGCTTTGCTTTAAATTTTTACTGTGCTTTTTGTATGGTTCTCATTAGAATTGTGCTTTTCAGAAATGAATGATGGTGGGGCCGGAGAGATGGCTCAGTGGAATAAGCACTTCCCTGGCAAGCACAAAGGCCTGAGTTCAATCCCCGGTTCCACCAAAAGAAAAAAGAAAAAGAAATGAATGATGGTATTACTAACCTTAGACTGATTATTTGGAAGAGAAAGAGTTTGGTTTAGTAAAGAATGTTTAGTCATGGTAGTGACTTCCCACTCTGCTTACACAGGCATGATGTTTTGAAAAGTATAAATGTGGTTTTTAATCTTAAGTATCATGTGCATATCTAATTGATCTATCTCAGATTAAGTAGAAGTAAATTATTAGCCATGATTAGAAGTAAAGGTTACTTGAGCCTTTAATTTCACAACTGATACATATATTAGTTTGTATTAAGAGTATTCATGGTTCCGTAATGACCTAGGGACGTAGGTCAGTTATACAGAGCATTTGTCTTACATGTACAAGGCCCTGAAATCCATCCCTAGTAGTACCACACACACAAAAGGAAAAATATTTGTGACAGCTTTGACATTTTAATGAACATTTTTAAATTGTGACAAATAAGTGGTTTATCTGTTTATTTAGTTAAATAACTACACTTTTATAAATAACAGGAATTCATCCAACCATCATTTCTGAGTCATTCCAGAAGGCTTTGGAAAAGGGTCTTGAAATCTTGACTGACATGTCTCGGCCTGTGGAACTGAGTGACAGAGAAACTTTGTTAAATAGTGCAACCACTTCATTGAACTCAAAGGTGAGAAAAGCCCTAAGAGATAGTTGACATATTCAGTTTAAGGTGTGTTTCTTTTTGTTGTGATGATTCTTGAAATCACAGTAAAGGAACATTATCTCAGGTGGAAAGGTAACTAATTAAATGTATGACAAATTGGTTATGAGGTGAATGACCTATAAAGCTAATAAAGGAGCTAGAATATTTGATAGGCATTATATCCACTTCCAGTATTTCATTTTAACAGTGGTTTAATATGCCTAAAGAGTTTCCAAGCCTTAAATTTGCCTTTTGCAAGCTTTTCCATGCATTTCCCTTAAGGACTGCCATAAAGTTTCTGTAAGCATATGGATTTTTTGTTTTTGTTTTTTGTATGTACTAGGGATTGAGCCTCTCTAGGATATAGTTCTGAGCTACATCCTTGGCCCTCTTTTTTGTTTTACTTTTTGAGGTAAGATAGCAAGTTGCCCAAGCTGGACTCAAAGATTCAGGTCATTCTGCCTCACCTTTCAAATAGCTGGGATTATAAACATGTACCAGGCTGGCAGTATAGCTCAGCGGACTAAGCACTTGCTTAGCTAAGCGCAGGGGCCAGGGTTCAATCCGTGGCTCTGCATGCCGCACCGGCCCCGCCTCCAGGTGCGCTGAGCCAGCAGTGGAGTCCGGGTGCAGTGGCGTGTGCCTGTAATCCCAGCACTTGGGAGGCAGCAATCAGGAGGATTGCTACTAATGTGGGCTATGTAGTGAGACCCTGAACAACAACAACAAAAAGTGCATTTTTAAAAATATAAACATGTGCCACCATGCCCAGCTACTTTTTCCTGAATGTTAAGTGTGCTAAGCATTGTCATAAAGTTAACATTTACATGTGTATATGTACACATGGATGTAATCTTCAAGACTTTGCAGAATGGTAGTCCTCTAATTTATAAGAAAGTAGATCTGGAAAAGTTAATTTACATAAGGCCAGCTAATAAAGAGGTGTACTTGGGCCAGGGAGATAGCGCAGCAACATAAGCACCTGCCTGGCATGCACAATGTCCTCCTGAGTTTAATCTATAAAAAAAAGAGGTGCACTGAATTTGAACCCAAGATGTGCTGCCCATCAAGACCTATCTCTTTAACTATTGTCTGTGCTGCTTTTCTTAGTTATGAAACTAAAGCAGTGATAAAATTTTTTAAGTTTCTTAAAAAATACAAAATGAAGTAAAAAAATTTTAATAAGTCTAATCCAAAGCATTTGAACAATTGAAAATGTTAGATATCTGTTTCTATCAATATTTGTCATTCAGCCATCCTTCCTCCCTTTTTTGTTTTCCCCTTTACTTTTAGAGTGGTAGGGGTCAAACCTGGGCCTCTCCCATGCTAGGCAAGTCAGTATTAAATCTGTATGTTGCTTTTCTTTAGATGTTAAATGGAGAGTTAGTTTTAAGTGATACTAAACGGTGCTTGTTCAGTTTCCCCAGAACTTAAAGATAGCATGATGATTACTAGCTCTAGTCATAGACTTTACATTGTGTTTAGTGTTCCACTCTTCAGGTTGTATGACTTTGGGCAATTGGTTTAATCTCTCTGTTGCAGTCCATATAAAAGTTGATTAATACATGGAAAGTGTTACATCCATAAATGGTTAACAAACGTTAGCAGCCATTAACTTCATCAGACCCCTAAATCTCCTGAGCCCTCATTCACTAAGGTGGAAAAAAATCCAATAAAATTAATTGGATGCTTTTTTTTTTTTTTTAAACTGTTCACAATTTGCACAGCCTGAAAAGTAAGTGAAAGAAAACCTAAGTATGTATTTTTACTTTGTGGATCTGCTCACAATCTAAGTAGAAAAGGTAGTATGTAGTGTCTTCATGTGGCTCCTTCTTATTCAGAAAAGTAATCAGAACTCCTGAATATCTTTGTCTTTGAAAACTTAGGACATTTTCTGCTGTAAAGATAACATTTTTTTCCTCTAATCTAGGTGGTCTCTCAGTATTCAAGTCTACTTTCTCCAATGAGTGTAAATGCCGTAATGAGAGTGATTGACCCTGCCACGGCTACTGGTGTAGATCTTAGAGATATTAAAATAGTTAAGAAACTTGGGTAAGCATTTCTAGTTACAACCTTAATATTGACAAAAGAAAATAGGTTAACAGTGTTGCAGCTGCTCACGATGAGTAGGTTTTTTTGGGGAGCAGGGTTTCTATTTTTGTTTGTTTTGTTAAGGAGAGTTGAGTACTGGGTATTGCACTTGGGGCCCTGCGCTTGCCAGGCAGGCACTTATGCTGCTGAGCTATATCCCTGGCCCTCTGTCTGTAGTTGTTAATATACTGCAAGCATGTACTACTAAGATTTTTTATTTTATTGTCGTGAGGATTTTCTTTTTTTATTTTTTTAAAAATTTTTATTTATTGATTGATTGATTGATTTTGTGTGTGTGTGGCCAGTTCAGCCCACCAGGGGGTGGGGTGGGCTGGCATGTGGTGCTGGGGATTGAACCGCGGTCCCTGTGCTTTGCTTAGCTTGGTTTGTTCTAAGTAGGTGCTTTAGACCACTGAGCCATCTCACCAGCCCTCTTGTGAGGATTTCCGTTTGGGTTTTTGAGATAAGGTCTTGCTCTGTAGTCCAAGCTGCCCTTACAATCTCACTGTGTTGCCCAGGCTGCCCTTGAGCTCTCAGTGATCCTCCTGTCCCATTGTTCTAAGTGTGAGCATTATAGACCTGCACCATAACAGTTGGCCAGAATTTAAGAATTTTTATTTATTTATTTTATTTATTTATTTATTTATTTATTTATTTTGTGGAACCAGGGATGGAACTCAGATCCTTGAGTTTGCCAGTCAAGCGCTTATCCTACTGAACCATCTCCCCGGCCCCTAAGAATTTTTAAAATTTAAAAAGAAGGTACCTAGATGAAAAACAGCTTTTTTTTTTTTCCTCCTTTTTTTTTTCCTTTTTGAAGGCATGGTTTCACTATGCAGTTCAGGCTGGCCTTGAACTCACTTTGTAGCCCAAGCTGGCCTGGAACTTGCAGTGATTGTCTTGCCTCCGTGTCCTAAGTGCTGGGATCACAGGCATGCGCTACCATGCCTGGCTTTTTTTTTTTTTTTTTTAATCTTTATTTGCTTGGTACTGGGTCTTGCTACACAGCTTAGACGTGTAGTGATCCTGCTATTTCAGCTTCCCCAGCGCTGGGGTTATAGGCATGTGTCACCACACCTGGTTCTGGAGCTGGCACAGCATTGTGATACCGGGATTACAGGTCCTTGTGCTTGCCAGGCAGGCACTTAGACCACCTAGCTATCTTCCCATCCCTGCTTTGTTTTTTTAAAGGATTTGTTTTCTTGTAATGTCTGTTAGTATGGAGTCTCCAGATTCTTTGTATTCTAGTAAAGTGTGAGGCTGAAGCGCATTTTTCATTGGACTAATGATTTTTAATCTGTTGTTAAATTCTCACCACCTTTTAATTATACCCTTCTTGTTTTCTTTTCTCTTAGTGGGACAATTGATGACTGTGAATTGGTGGAAGGGCTAGTTCTTACCCAAAAAGTAGCAAATTCTGGCATAACCAGAGTTGAAAAGGCTAAGATTGGACTCATTCAGTTTTGCTTATCTGCTCCCAAAACAGATGTAAGTACAATCCAGCCAAAATTGGTTTTCTGTTTATTTAACTTCTGGTAGATCAGATAATTGTTCATTAAAATAAAAATGAAAAATGCTGGTACTAATGAAAAAATGAGCCAGGCAAGTTGGCTCATGCCTCTAATCTCAGCACTGTCAGTCAAATTTGAAAAAAAGTAGGAAGTGTTGGTTCCACAATTGTTAAGTCTGTAGACTATTGTATGTTCATTGAAATTATGATTGACTTCATAGATGAAGATTAATTAGAGTTATGTAGGAAACTAAATGATAAGTGTTGATGGATTTTTCATTTTCTTTGTAACTTTCTAGCCCTGGGGATATAGCTCAGTGTCATAAGTACCTATCTGTGGCAAGCTCAAGATCCTGAGTTTGAATCCTTTTGAAATCAGAAACTTAGTAGCTACAGATGGTTTATATTTGTACAAATGGAAACCTAAACTAAAATTTCTGTCCATACTGTATAGCAAATTGCTTTTACTTAGGTATTCCTGTGTCTTAATATATAAATGCCATTATTTAGAGGAGATTGCTGGTACTTCAGATTTTTTCTCATACTGCCTTATGCATGTTAATTATCTTGTTTCTCAAAAGTTTAATCCATTCAAAAATTGTTGGCTGGGCACAGTGGTCCAGGCCCCAGCCAAACATGGATAACTCTAAAGGCGTTGGGTTCAATCTCTGCTACCATCCTCCAAATGTTTAATATTTTTTATTATTTTTATGTTTGTGTATTTCGTACAGGATCTCACTATGCAGTGTGGGCTCAGTGATCCTCCTGTTTTCAGCCTCCCCAACACTTAAGATTACAGGCGAGCACGACCATGCCCAGACTCAGTCCGATTCAGCCTGCCAGGGGGCAGGGCCGGTGACGGTGCCAGCGCAAGCGCAGCATATGGTGCCAGGGATCAACACCCTGGTCCCTGCACTTGCCTAAGCAGGTGTTTAGCCCACTGAGCTATCTCGCCAGCCCTTGTTTAAGATTTTGATATAAACAAAACTTGTCTTCTCAGCATACCATTTATATAACAAGCAATAGAGTAAAAAAGGATTGAACTGAAGTTATCTCTATAATATGTATATTGTTTGTATGAGAAAGACTGACATTCAGGAAATGTGTGTTTTGTAGTTTAGGCTGGCCTGAAACTCATGGTAAACCTCCTACTTCACTGTTCTGAGTGAACCACCACACCTGACTCATTTTACCTTTTTTTTTTTTAATAAAATAGACTGGGCACGGTGGCACACACCTGTAATCACAGTGCTTAGGAGGCTGAAAACAGGAGGATCACTACAAGACTGATCTATGTAGTGAGACCGTGTACACCGTTTAGACCCTGATCTAAATACATTATTTTAAAAAAAGTATTTGCAAAAGGTTCAGGTAGACCAGGTATGGGGGCACATACCTGTGATTCCATCACTCTGGAGGCCAAAGGTAGTGGGACCTCATTCATGAGTTTGGCAACAGCTTAGGCTGCATAGGTAGTTCAAGCCAGCCTGAACTACATAGCTACATCCTGTCTCCAAAAAAAAATTCCAAATAAAGACAGTAGTGAATAGAGTTGAAAGTAGATGTGAACATATATCTTTGCAAACGTGTATATATCCTTTTGTTTCTGTATGATAATATAGAAATACTTTGTTTTAAATGTACATTTTCAGTTAAGAATCTTTCAGTCTTCTTTCTTTAAAAAATAAAAACATAAAACTCACTTTTCACCTAAAAACTTTTGTTCTGAGAATTGAACCTAAGACCTCAAAAATGCATAAGCACATATGTTACCACTCTGAGCTTAACAATGTGTTATTGTTTTCTTTTTCTAAACAGATGGATAATCAAATAGTAGTTTCTGACTATGCCCAGATGGACCGAGTACTGCGAGAAGAGAGAGCCTATATTTTAAATTTAGTGAAACAAATTAAAAAAACTGGGTGTAACGTCCTGCTCATACAGAAGTCTATCCTAAGGTGCGGGAGTATGTTTTGTTCAGTCTTAATTACAATTGATTTGGGATACCCACCTGCAGTTTTTTAAGGAACAGTTGTCTGTGTTTTGTAGCATCATTCTATTTTGATTAATAAAAAGTGGTTTGTATTTCCTTTATAATTATTTATTTATTTTCCGGAACCAGGGATTGAACTCAGGCCCTTGCACCTGCCAGGGAAGCACTTATTCCACTGAGCCATCTCCCCAGCCCCTCCTTTATAATCATTTAAATGTAAGATAATAACTTTCTAGACCAAGATTTAAATAACAAGGGCCGGGGAGATGGCTTAGAATAAGCCAGGCAAGGGTCTGAGTTCAATCCCCGGTTATGCCAAGAAAAAAAAAAAAAAAAGATTAAAATAACAAATAAGTGGAAAGCCTTGTTTTTTGTTTTGTTAAGTATTTGGTACAGGGTCTCACTATGCAGCTCAGACTCATAGTGATCCTCCTGTTTTCAGCCTCCCCAGCACTGGGATAATAGCTGAAATTTTAAAAATTCTACATAATTAGCCATTTGAGCAATAATAAAATGGTTGAAAGTCTTAACAGTTGTTGAATAGCAGTGTTTTTTCACATAGTATTAACATAAACACTGATTTTATATTTTAGAGATGCTCTTAGTGATCTTGCATTACATTTTCTGAACAAGATGAAGATTATGGTGGTCAAGGATATTGAAAGAGAAGACATTGAATTCATTTGTAAGGTAAAATATTAGCATCTGTTATATGTAAACAAGAATGTCCATTAAGCAGGTGACTTTTAGTTTGTGGTTTATATTTTCCCAGACAATTGGAACCAAGCCAGTTGCTCATATTGACCAATTTACTGCTGACATGCTGGGTTCGGCTGAATTAGCTGAAGAGGTCAATTTAAATGGTTCTGGCAAACTGCTCAAGGTAATAGTATAATTAAACTTTTTTTCCCTGGGTTTTTGTTTAATCTTTACCTCAGGTACCTAATTTAAAATTTAATTATTAAAGATTACAGGCTGTGCAAGCATTGGAAAAACAGTTACAATTGTTGTTCGAGGCTCTAACAAATTGGTGATTGAAGAAGCTGAACGTTCCATTCATGATGCCCTGTGTGTTATTCGCTGCTTAGTGAAAAAGAGGTAATAAAAATTTTAGATCATGAAGTAATTTTTCTGGGTACTGGTACTTGAACTCAGGGCCTCACACTTGACGGGCAGGCATTGTACCACTGAGCTATATCCCTAGCCCTCAACTAAGTAATATTTTAAACATTAAGCCTTAAATGTTTTGACCTTTCTAAATATAAAAAGAATAAATTATTATAAATGCTTTTCTGTTGGATAAAATAACCTAAAACTATTTGTGTGTCTCAGAGCTCTTATTGCCGGAGGGGGTGCTCCAGAAATAGAGTTGGCCCTACGATTGACTGAATATTCAAGAACACTGAGTGGTATGGAGTCCTACTGTGTTCGTGCCTTTGCAGATGCTATGGAAGTCATTCCGTCTACACTAGCTGAAAATGCTGGTCTGAATCCCATTTCTACAGTAACAGAACTAAGAAACCGGCATGCCCAAGGAGAAAAAACTACAGGCATTAATGTCCGAAAGGTACTAATTTATGAGAACAAAGTTGATACCTTAGTGTGAGCTTTTGAGAATAAAGGTGATACCTTAGTGGAAAATAATGTTCATTAACTCTTCCACTTACTGACTTTAACGTTTAACAAGTTAGGTTATGTTGCTCAGTTCTTAAAGTAGAGATAAATGTTACCTCATACATCTGTTGTGAAGGCCAAATTCGTTACTGACTTGTGTTCTTTTGTTTTTGAACTGGGAACTGAACTCAGGACTTCGTGCTTGCGAGGCAGGCTGTGCCACTGAGCTATATCTTGGGCTTTATTACTGATTAATGCTATAAATATTAACCGTATTTCCTGTTTGGAGCATGACCTGGTATTGTGTGGTTGCATGGAATAGCAGAAACATTCCCTAGTTTGTTAATGTTTTATTGAGGAGAGAACACATAAAGTGAGAGAAGTAATAATTCACAGTGTTATGTTGTGAAGCGTATGGAACTCTATAGGATGGCAGTTCCTATTTAGAGAAAACAATGAAAATGCAACTTTGATTGATAGGAGATAAGGAAGTTATGTATAAGGAAGCAGTAGTTTAAGGTAAGGAAGCCAAGAGGTTATTCTGCTTGTCTAGAGAGAGGGGCTCTTACGTTAGTAATGTGGATTTTAAGGTAAAGATAGATAAAACCTAGGATGAGGAGGTCTTGAGGAGGGCATATGTTTTTTCATCTAGTAATTGAGGTCCACTAAATTTTTTTTAAGCAAGAACTAAAGCAAAAAATATTTTTGGTACTAGAAATGTAAGTCGGCCTTGTGCTTGCCAAGCAGGTACGGTGCTGCTGAGCTGTGTCCCTGACCCTAAAAATTATTTTTAAACATAGAATACTGGAGCCAGGGAAACATCATGGCCCTTAGCAGTGTTCCTTGGATAAAGGGAACAAGAGTATTAATGCAGTGAAGAATTTTTTTTTTTAATTTTATTTATTTGTGTGTGTGTGTGTGTGTGTGTGTGTGTG